AAGGCATTGTAAAATCTGAGATCCGAGTAAAGGTTGCACGAATAAGTCGAGCGAAATCTTCAATTTGGTACACATGAAATAATCGCCGAGATGTAGGCAGACTGAGTCTACGTTTTTTACTCCGAATTATCTATATTTAGCTATGATCTAAGTTAGTATGCGTTTGTACTGTTGAATTCTATCGTATTTTTTATTCGGTGACGCAAATAATAAAAAATTTCTTTAGTCCCACTATGGGGATGGCAATAGGTACAGAATAGAGAAGGTCCTTGAACTGATATAGGGGGAAATGATTTGAATGGTCTGTCAATTTCTACCGGCAGAAGCGCGTCAACTTTAGTAATCCTTTGAAAGTACATCTTAGGACCAGTTCCGATTCTCAGAAATAATTCAAATATACTAAGATCATTCTTTTGAACGAGCAGGGCCTCTGCGGGACCTAGCTGTGGTGCCGTATGATAAGCGAATCATTAGAGGCCTGCATTGAGCGATTCTGGCCATAAAGATTTTGTGCATAAATGAACAACGTGTTCTCATGATCCGACAAGTCAATAGAAGATAGATTCTGATTTGAATTGGCAACGCGCGATTTGTCAGTAAAGTTCGTGCATAATAACCCGTGTAGGTTCGACGCGAAAGACAAATCGCAGCGTATCGACATCATATCAATCGGAAATTCAGGAGCTGGTAGGAGCAGGTCTCAGCGATTTTTCGCTGCCTACTGCTAAAATAGTTTGACGCTTTATTGAGAGGTTTAGCATAGCACTATTACATGTACCATTGGCTACCGTGCTTCCACCACTAGTCCAGTTCGTCTTATTACCCATAGAAAATTGTTGAATTTGAGAGCGCACAGGTTCACAATGATGAATCTTTCTTAAGCACTAGTTACAATATACATATCATGCTGCAAATGGGATTATTTTTAATGGGAATATTCCGTCGCAATTTTTTTATACCAATCAAGAATCACAGGGCGGTGGAGATAGTGCGGTACGAGTTTTGAAATGAGTCCCCGTCCATTGGCTTTGATATACGAAACATAACAAACTGCTTTAGATGTTCGTCATCTTTTTATTTCAGAAACGCAGCCAGATTTTTCAACGGATAAAGGAAAGTACTGCAACACACACGCATCGAGGGGTATATACATACACATAACGAATAGTGTATTGTCTCGTAGGAAACGCATTGTCGAACAAGCAACGAAACAAGATTAAGGGAGACCGACTACAAAAATAACACCGACAAATACCCTCTACGGATTTGTTTCGATGTACGAATCGTCCCAGTTTTCCACCGGATGGCTCATAACATAGGACTGCGACAAACGGCATCTGGAAGCAAATACAGCCGAGATCCTCTTGGCACTGTCGATTCTTGTTAGGATTCAGGTAATACCCAAGTTGTGTATTCCATCAGTGGGAATCGGCTTGCATGTTACACGACGTGGTCAAACAATTTTTCATTAGGAAGGTTTTATTTCCCTGAAATACGAGTTAGACTTAAATTCATGACGATACGTAATACTGATTACTTCGGCTGCAAAACGACTAATAGCGCCAGCTCACAATTTAACTTCATGTAAATTTTTTGACATGCATTTGTACTGGCCAATCGTGTGTCTAGTCGTAACATTTTTGATTAGGTGCCAGCGATTCTGTGCAATTTAAAGTTACAAAAATTTAATAAAGACGCGTACTAGACCTGGGTTAGGCGACGTTTAGCGGAAATGTTGGCTTGTCAGCTGTAACCTGCATGGGGTTCCCGTATTAAGAGCGAATATTAAGCGCGAAACTTTCATCACCCGTATAGAAATTTATTTTGCCAAGTGTATTTGCTGCTGCTGCTGGTTTCTGAGTACAGAAGTAGTCATTGCGATGGATGGACATCATAGAAAATGGCCTTGATGGATAGGATACCCTGCCCTTCGTGAGATGTTGGCGGCCGCGAGCTACCGCTATAACATAAGTTAACCGCATACATTATTACTACACTGCGAGTATTTTACAATGATTATATGATAATTTTTGTGTGTCGTTTGATAGAGACGGTATTTGTAGGACACTGCTAGAGGCCAAGCGGAGTTTTTTGGAACGTTTTTACTACCTGTGCTAGTTGTTAGACACAGGAGAGAGGCATAAAAACAACCGTACGTATAGCAGTAAGATTTTCTTACAGTGGATTGGTGGTAAGCGCGTTTCGAGGCGTGTGCGCTAAGAGATATCAGCGCAAATTCACTCCAGATTCTAATGTAAGTATGTTCTTAATTATTATTAGATTCCGATATAATTATGAGAATGTTAGCATACAATTAAAATCGTTTAAAATTTGAAGCTTCTGGGGTCGGGAAAACGCTTATTGAGCCCAGTATAGAATTCCGTTAAAGCAACTTGTCAATAAGTGAAAAAGTTTCACTGAAACACAATAGCATTCGTATAAAGTATGCAAGTTTATTAAAAATCGTTAATCGTCATTAGCAATTTTGTTTGGTTATGCGTTTAATATTTACAACAACGTAAATTATATAATATGGTAACTGAGTCACCGGTGAAGTGAATCGGTAAAGATAAGAATTGCCTCAGAAGGATAAGGATTTATTGATCGCTATCGCTTCATCTGCCAAGTTGTGTTAATTATCACAAAACGATCACCAATTATTTAATAAGCGTTCTCTCGTTTTGTCGTGCTTAAAAAGCTACAACTATTTTTCTTCAAGGTCGACAATAAAAGGTCTTACGAGGAATAAGCCGTGATAAACAGCAATATAATTATTGGTTAAAATAAAAAAAAGAAGGGAGAATTGTACCCTGAATGTTTTGAGATGTATAATCGAGATGGTTTCATGACTGCAGATCGTAAGACGTCCTACTGATGTTGCAGTTACCACGAGCGTGAATTTTGACGTATCAGTATACGGAGACAACGCAACAAAACTCCCCAGAATACCACCATCTCAATTAGGTTCCCCGTCCACAGACTTATGTTTATATAGCTTTCCATTTAGACCGTGTGCAGTTTGCTAACAAAATGATATGGGAAAGGCAAAACTAACCCAGAGCTGTCTGCAAGTTTCTGAAATTTGAAGTTTCTGAACTTACTTTAAATAGTATTATTCGCTCAAATGTTGCTGTAATGCAAACTAATACTAAGCAGTGTTAATAATCCACCTCTCGCTCGGTGGTGCCGAGAACGGTTCCTAGAAAATTAGAATGTACGCATGGTCAGTTGTGTTAATCAGACCCGAGGCTCGAAGCAAAAGCCTTTCCCACAAGGTAAACTCTGTTCGCTTGGCAACGCCAAAGAGCTAAGTACCCTGCATGCTTGTTAGTAATTACCGCGAGAAAATTGATTGACAGGGATGTCCGCATTGAGTAGAAAAAACCTTTACTCTGCTAAATGAATATTGAATATGTCCAGAGTCTGACGCCCTAACCATATGTCTCATCGACGCTACGGCCAATGACGTATATGAATGTATCCAAACCGAAAGAACGATTTGATCTATTATAAGCTAACGGTCATACTGAAATTAATCGATTGAAATAATTATCTAACACACGGCTTTACTAACCTGTATACTTTCGTACTACGATTATACGTGTGCAGGAAAATGTGGCCAACGGAAGTATGCTAGCAGGCACGCAATTATCTTGCAATTTCTAGCACATTAAATCTGTCTTTATATAACGTGCTTAACTAAATTAAGCAGAGAATATTTTGGCGCAAAAACGTTCGACGCATACTTCGTTCAAGGAAATGATTTATGCCTCTAATAGTACCTTAACGCACAGTTCCTTGAAATAGGTCCTAACAGTGTTGTGAAATGAACCTCGCTATGTATAGTGAGTATTCTTCTTCAGATAATACAGGCATAACATTTCCTGCGGTTTACGCGATGGTGCCAGCCTACGATACAATGGGTCGGAACGATAGGTTGAAGATGAATGAGTTGAGCCGCTGAGAGTAGCTGCCTTGGCAATTTGGCTAGTCATGCTGGAACGTCGTAAGTAAAAACCTGCCGAGTGGGCCCTGTGCAGACTGCATCTGGACTTTACCTGGGTAGTCGTCAATCACAAAGGGCAGCAGACATAAACAAGCTCGACCTAATACGTGGAGCTTGTATCTTAATAGCGGATATACCATGGAGCACAGATCATAAGACAATACAACTAATGGCCAAAAATGTCGACGAAAACAACAAGAACGAACGCAGAAGAACCTAATCGAGATGCATAAAAACTCTTAGAGCAACACAACTGTGTACAGTTGCAAGTACCTTTAAGATCACCTATTGTTCTAGGATACAACGACAATGGACGAAGGAAAAACACAAGTGTTCATGTACTCGAACTCTTTATTGGACTCTACAACAAAGGAGAGAATGGCCAGTTTGAAGTGTGCACTTGGTACACTGATCCAAAAGAGCAATCTACGTCCATGTTAAGCGTGTCTTAGCCGCGCCAGAAATCAGAACTAATCACTAATTTACTTTTACCCCTCCTCGTGAAAACCGAAATCAGCGTATCTGAAGGATTATCGCCGTTCTTTCAGTGCAAAACGACACGTTAGTTTACTGCACTAATACAGAACAAAAAATTGCAAGTTCCAGCGATATCCGTACTGCATTGTTGATCTATTATTTTTAAAGTCATCGAGGATCATCGACAGAACTGCTGCTTCGTAGAGCTCTGTCCCATAGCACGCTGCATGGTTACGCCTGCTAAATGTTTGATCTGCTTCAGGTTTCCTCATTGCAACTTATTTCTTACTTTAAGTAAGAAGTATTTATAGATACAACTGAGTCATGTGGAAATGGCGTGTTTTTGCTTAAAATCTGATCTCCTGGCAGTCCACCTATTGCCAGGATTTGCGCGGGCCCAAGCAGCTGCGGATGCGGGGATCGCTAACAAGTATCCAGCCGTAGCGAAGTGCATGTTGCTACAAAATGCTTACGCTGGTATGGGTGGCATCAACTGCTAAAGAAAACATTTTCGCCATACAGTAGATAAAGTCTGCAATTTATTTTCCAATGGTGCTGTCAGTGTCAATACGACACTCGAATGCTAACATATATAAGTGTAGGCCGCATATAGTCTGTCGAAATAATTCCCTTTGTCCGAGGCCTACGGTAGCTTAATGATACGCTCCCTTTGTGAGGCAAAAGATGAATTGCTATTGCAATCATTGTTGTTACACGTCAGGCAAAGTCTGTTTATTCCTTCAACACCTGCAAGCAGATCTAGCATCTAATGATTAACTGCTGGCTGTCAAATTTAATATTTGGGTATAAGGACATTACAATACATAATGAAATAGTTTGATTGGAAAATCTATACACATACAATAGATTTTTCAATCTAAAGCATTTAAGATATTACACGATGCGCTGATTTGGCTGTACCAACGAGCAAGTTGCGAGACGTAATACTAAGCTTATTTTCAAGAAATTTAATTATCTACAATACATGATATATGTATGCTAAAAATTGTCAAATCCGCGTTCGATGGTAAGCAGTTTGGCATCGCTAATATCCTTTACATTTGATATTCTTTAAGCAATAATAGGTCAACGCCTATTTTGAAAACAAAGCTGCAGAAGCAAATGGGAGACATCGTATTGTCTATGGGCCATTTCCATTGTACCTCTTAAATAGAACGATGCGTTGCGAGATAGAACAATTGCTGGATGACAAATTAGAGCACGTCCTTTAGGACCTCATTCTTGCAACTCACATTCACATTCGTTTCACTGTATAAGCTACATCTAGTGTGCAGTAGTCTTTCGTCGAAATTGGCCTTTTTTCGAATCAACTCCTGTTTTCGAAATTGGCTTCGGTTTAGCCTGTCAAAGAAAGCCTTTCCTGAGCATAGAACACAAGTCACAATCAGTTTCGTCTCGCCCAGTTACAAATTGTCAAACTATATATCTTAGATCTGCATCTTTAAAGCACTATGTGCTGTTTTGGCTTGCACCCGCAAACGCATTTGAGCAGACGAGCTTTTTCCACAAAAGATTCACTGGATTGACAGCGCCGATCGGCCGCTCTGGCTACTCTACGAACATACTGTTCTGGTATACCTGAACAACAGACTCTTCATGCAAATAGGACAAACATGTAGCTTAATGCATTTAATAACAGCTGGTAGTACGAGTACAAAAGAGTCACTGTCTGTTATCCTTTGAAGGAAAAAGCTGTTTGACTGACTAGAGAATCAAATGAAGCAAACAGAATAATTTAACTTCTGTACGTTCCGTTAGACGAGTTAAACGTACGAGTTAGAAAATAACAAGTAGCAGTAGAAGAGGAAACAAAATCGCCGAAAAATCGCAAGGTTCAGGTACAGGGCAGTGCGTTTGTTCTATTCAGTGCACAGGGGACCCATATGCTGTTGAGGTATCGCCACAATGGTTCTGTAGATAATCTGTTGTGATAATAATGCCCGAATCGCCCCTATATAGATCACTGTGATAATCCACTTTGTGAAACTATCGTCGGAAAGGTGGACAGCTTTGGGGAGTCGATATGGATTTAAACAATCGTTTAAACGTTCTGTCAGTCTTTCACACACGTTTTGTTGTCTGCTTGTTGACAAGCTTAGTGACACACATTTTTATTCAGAAGCTATATGTAAGGCGTGCATTGGGCAAATAATGCTATAATCAAGTGGGCGTGAACTAGTTCCAAGTTTTGATATGGCAATGTTCGTTGTTTCTGAAAACCGGAACAGTTTCCTCTGTTCAGCTTAATATTTAGCATCCGAATTTTATGAAACGCTCAATAGAACGTAACAAAAATCACCTATCGATGGAACTTTGTGATGTATCTTAATTCATTAATAGCTTAATTAATTAAGCTTCGTCTTGGTGTCGTACTTTTGAATGCTTTTTCGCAATGCGTTCTTGCGCAAGTTTTACAACTTGTTTGAAAGCGAATTTATTTATTTATACATTTCACATAGTTTGTGTAGCACATAGTACCGGCTAATGAATATTACTATGCAACATATGTCATAAAAAAATTATTACAGGGAGTTTATTCATATATAAATCAAATTTTGATAACTGGTACTCCCTAAGGGTCATACGTACGGATCGTTTATATGCATCTGCTTATTTATTAGATCTCCACATATGGGCTGTGATTTTCATTTGCAATGTTAGCAAAGCAGAGTTAAGTGATAACGTTGAAATTTATGGATGTGATCAAAATTCTGTTTTCCGAAATTCTGGCCGTCAATGATGATAAACTGTTTATGCAAATGTAGTTACGTAATTTCAATTTTAAACGATAATAAATTTAATTATGCTGCGCGCACCCATCAACTAACTTCTCCGCAGAAAATTTGCTTGACCTTGATTGTCGTCTTCCAGTTTACGAGGCGCATGTGAGGGGCGTCTGCTATGCGCGGCTAATGCGAATCCCTGGCGAGACCACAACTAACAAATATGGTAGCGGTCGTGCTAGTTCAAATTTTAGCGTACGAAAAGGATATTATCAAAAATTAATGATCAGAAAAATAGGGAATTGAAGAAATAAGGAAATTATTATGTTTAAGGTTAACAGCGGTTTGTTTAGTTGCTATGCCGTTTTATAGGTCTGTTAGAGAAACCTCGAATAAGTCCAGCAAGACCTGTGCCGGCTAGATCTCTAGTGGGGACAGATCCTACCTTTTATATCTAGACAGAGATGATTCCGGAAAATGTTAGATAATAATATGAAATGATATATGGATATGCCTGTTGCAAGTTCGTTCATAGTAATAATGGTAATTCAAATAATTTATTATCTAATTACCATTATTATTATTTACGTTAGCTTTATATTATTCGACGGAATGTCAGCTATAGCTTACACAACAATGTAAATTCAATATGTGCATGTTCCTATCCGAGATAAACTAAACATCAAGATAATCTTTGTCAATGGAAAACACGCCTTGCGTACTTTCAGTTTTCTTTGGTGTTTAAATTTAAAATAAAAAATAAAAATTTTACTCTACCCATTGGACTCATTAAGATCGAGATGCACATAACAGATCCTGACGTGGCCCCAGGCGAACCGAGTAGTACTTATTATCCTTCGCATTTTTTTCACAAATCTCGAAATCTTTTTCTGGACGAACGCGAAGATTCGTTAAGCTATTTACTAGCGGACCAGGGCTACTCCTTCCGGGCTTTCGAAGACCGAGTGGCGTCTTTCCCAGGATCCCTCCTTTTAGGGGATGTATAGAGTGCAAGGTTTTAATTATTTGAGCGAATATGTTTATAAATATATATTTGGATTTCTGGCTGAAAGACGAAACGCCGCTAGCTCGGGCCCCCTGCCACACAACACATTTAGTACAATGTGTGAATGCACATGTAAAAGATAAATATAAAATGTTATTTACAATATAGGAAATGCGGCGTGCTTCTGCATTGAAACTTACTGCAACTTGCTGCTTCAGTTCTTAACAGCAGGTTAGCAGGTAATTCAAGTTGTTCAAGGAGAGAACATCACCGAACTATAAGGTTGGTAGGAATGGTCTACCAACTTTTTTTCGGTATGCCTTCACCCGTGGTAGTCTAGTATGTAATGCATTTGCATGCTTACCTTAGAAACACGTTGTGGCATAGGTTCGAATCCTACCACAGACATACGATTCGTCTCGTGCTGAGAGCCAGCCGTCTGGTGGGATGCCACACGGGAATACCAGACGTGAAACACGAAGCTGAGAAGCATGTCTTCGATGAAATTATTGCTTGTACTGTATTAGTTTCGGTGCCAGATATAATTGTAATTCTTGGATCTGTTAATTAAGGCATAGTTTTCAAGTGAATTTGTTTGATATATAATGCACACTTTCAGCGTACAACTATTGTCATGTATCCGTTTAGGTTTGCGGAGAGCGATGAATATGATCTTGTGGTGGTCATCAACTTTCTGTTTTCAAAAGATATGGCAAATTCAGCTGAGTCGGTCTATGTGGTCGAGTTTTCACGCGGATGCTCTGCAATGTTAGCGACGGAGCCTTCATACGCCAAGTACTAATGCCATTAACCCTAAGTTAATTTCCAGCGTACGCTCTCGGCTACCGTTAGTGCAGAGCGATGTCACGTAAAAGGTCTAATGCGATCTAATGCTAATGGGCGACATGGTCGGCAGCTTAACCATTTCAAATGTCCTGGTTGTATCAGATGGACTGGTGGTCAGATACGTTTACCATGAACAATACATTGTCATACTAATCATATATGGCTGAATAAATTTCATACACTGTTTTGAAAACAACACGCATAATTTTCAATACTTACTTCTTGCCATCTACGTCACAATCAGTAAGGTAATTCCCTTGACAGAAATGAATCCGAATAAGCATAAGAGCATGCACTTTTCGACATCTATCTAATGAGACGGCAGGCTGAGTGCGATAAGAGTTTTTTTAAATTTTTATTGATGCGCCATACACTTGTCAGCATAACCAGAGAAAAAATATCCGCTGTTCCATTGAGGATTTTACTATGACCAACAGAGAAATCATTTTGCGATTGACATCTCAAGATAACTATACAACCTTACTTTCTTAACACGCGCCTTTTCTCTATACACAGGGCTCTTGGTCTGAAAGCGGTGATTTCCTGATCTCGACGTCTTTGACAAACTTCTTTGCTTAACTCATATATTACGCGAATACACACGATTTTCCGTGAGTTCACTGTGCCTATTAGTTTCAGCGGGCTTATAGATGTTAATTCTCCAGCCCATAGTCAGAGAACGAATATTGTCCATCGAACGTCGTTACCCAGCAATGAAAATGATTGGATCCCTAAAATTAGTAAGTAACCATTGTTCATTAATCGACTATGATGAGGAATTGTACTTACAAGTTTGAAACTGTAGGCGACATACATACCTTACACTGATTCCTCGCTCGTGCAATATGTATGATACAATTCCAGTACTATAAAACATCACAACTATATATAAATGTAATTTGCCTAACACTTTAGCTTGCGAAATTCGTACGAGGCTGAACATGAGCCGGGCATCTTTGTTCAGACTTCAGAGGTAAGGAAGATAGATGGTTCTTATATTCATGGCCTCATTAAAAATGTAATTTTTTTCCGGAATAGATTCAAGAATTGTCTTTCATTCTTCTTCGCTCTTTTAAATTTCGGAATGCGGCCAATCTTCGGGTCCATAGAATAGTTATTCGTTCGTAAACAGGACCCGTAGAACGTAGCCCCTTTTAGCTTGCGTATAGCGTGCCTTGATGAGTTAAGCTCATGTAGAATTAGATCGACGCCTGTCAAGCGTTTTGTCGTACTATGGATTTCCACACAGATTCAGACTAGGTAGCTTATATTTCACAAGCTGACCGTATAAGCGTTCTAATTAGAACAGTTTAAGTCGAGCGTTGTTTACTTGTAGATTTTTTGAAGTGTTACAACTCTGCGCGTTTCTTTGCCTAGACACTTGGCAACAAACTAAAATGATGAAGGTAGGTATAGAATCAAACAAGAAACGTAAAAATAATAACTTATAAAAAGTTTACGCAACGCCAATTCAGGAAGATGAAAGCAGGACAGTTCAGGATTGTTCGAGACACAACCTGATTAGACTTGCGAGGACTTTTGCGAGGAGAACATCAGCAGCGGATAAAATAATGTTACGCATCTACGAGGGTACGTTTCATGTCGTTAGATTCCAATTATGTTTAAAATAATAATGTTAGATCTGATGAGGGACATTTCTTGTCAGGACAAATTTGGAATTTTACCGCGCGTGTGCCGTTGCAGCCAGAGTTCCATCCAATGGCTGTCAATGACAGCAGGACAACATTTGTGATTTTTCCAATGGCAGAGATTTTCCATGCTCAATTTCACTATGAGTTTCTTACTGAGCAAGCTGGAACGAACGATCTACAACAAAAATGTTATAATCTCATTAAGCGCATGATGAACTCTTCACCACTATGCTAAGTAGTAGTACATTGTAATTAAGTCACGCAAGCTGGCGTGTGCGTAGCAGTAC